TGAAGAGCAACCACGGTGAAAAAAGTGTTTCTATACTTCGTTCTTTCTCCTCTTTTTATCTATCGATTTCCCCAAAGTATTATTCTCGTCGCAGAAAAAAAAATCTGCCCGAAGAAGCAAGATCCCACTGCCCGCTAGAAGACAGTAAGAAATTTTCTCGACTGTAGAATTCGGTACACCGATATTGCACCAGTCTCTCCGTTTTCTATCCACACTGTTGGCAGCGTGTTTGGCTGTGTCGTTCTGTGGTGAAACAGTGCAGCCAACGGTAAGAAAGGAGAATCGACGCGGCAATAGACACGGGCTCCTGGCCCTCTTTCTTTTCATCGATGGATTCATTAAAAAAATTTCGATTCGCGGTATTCCCCTTTGAAATTTCATACAAGATCGATAGAAACCGCGTAATGGACGGTAAGAGATTAACGAACGCTTTCCTTCGCCCGGGGGCTCTTTTGTGTTCCGGTCTCTTCCTTAATTACCTGAGCTGTAGGTGGAAGTTATCCGCGTCGATAGTTCGAAACAATGGCTACCTTAAGTCCTAACCCCTTCTCGATGGAAAATCTTCGAGAAACGTTTCACGGGCTTATCAGACGCTAGCCCTTCCGTTAACTTTCGATATTTAATTTTTAACGTGATATAGATACTGTAATATCCTTGTTTTTTTTTTTTTTTTTTTTGACATTTTCCATTCTTTCAATTTACTTCTTTGCTTCTCATCTATCCGATCGTCACCTTAATTATCTGAACTAAAGATGAGAAGTTATTCTCATCGATATTTATTTTGTAATTAATGTTATAATTTTATATAGTTTACAGTTATGTAATTAATTTTCAACGTAAATGAGATCTGACTTTGCTAACCCTGCATACCGCTTCCTCTTTATACTTTTCCTGTTTTTTTTTTTTTCAATTTACCTCATTACTGCTTCATCTGTATTCTCTCAAATGGTTCTTCTTCGAAGATTACGTTCAATATCGTCGGAATCTGCGAGAGAATATTGCACTGCGAGTAACGAGCCAGACAAGTCGGTTCCAACCAGCGATTTTCTAATCTCATATATCGCAAGCCCACCGGTATGACCTGCAATCACCCCTTCAAATCGAGTCACCTGCTTAAACGGTAAATATCGCATGACGCACAGGAAATGGCTGTTGGTGGTTCATCAGACTGTTTTCGTCTCGCTGGAAGATGATCGATGCGAGTGTCATTGCCCATGGAAATACATGGTTTAGTAATGACGAAGTCACGTTCGGTTACTCTCTGGTCTGACGTGTTTTGTAAAACTCGTACGGTGCTTGATCATTTCGTCACATTTCGGCGGGGATTGTAAAAATGTATGCGCGAACAAAACGATTTCAATTCGTTCACGTTTTGTCAGCAACATGACATTTTAAATTTAATAGATATCTTCGCTCCTCGATATCTACAAACAGCAAATAAATATATCAAATGATTTTTCTAATATTTTTCTAATCGTCGAAAATCGTCGAAGGGATCGATATAATTTCTTTGCAGAGCGACGATTCATTATCTCATAGGTTTTCACTGATAATAATTACACAGTTGATAATAACTCAGTAATAACTTCCTTGAAATGGAGTCCAGTTGTTGTAATTTCATGTAAATATTTTTATGAATGCGGGCTGCGAAGTCCAGAACGAGAGCTAAAGAACCTAAAATATGGACAGAAATTTCAACGTGGATATACTCGGTACGTTTAAATTTCTCGTAAATTAAACATTCGCGGTCTAACGATAATACGTAATTGAGAAATTATTTCTTGGTGCTCCTCGTCGAAGTAGCTGAAAGTAATTTACTTGTGAATCGAACGAAGCGCATCTGCTCGGAATAATATTGGACAATGGGGTCACGAAAGTTTCTCGAACACATCGCCGTGTATACACATTTCTCGCGTGTAATTAGCCCGACGTGTCTACTTCCGAGTCGAATCGGTGGGAGAGTTCCTAAAACCATTTCCGGCCGGAGCACTTTTTTTTATTTTGGCCGTCCCACGCATGACGGCGCAGAAGGGAAGTGGCGATCAAACGTACGAAGGACAGACTTTACGAGCCCCCCCTCGAAGCGTTCTTCGAGGCAGGTACGATCGCAGACGTTATCGAGCTTGAGACCATATGTCACCCTTTCGACCCCTCTCTCTACCACCTAAGATAATTGCCCGGGAACAGTATCTCGGAAGTGAATTTTTTTTTATGAGAAAAATACTTGAAAATACGGTTAGCTAGTAGTACGTTACGTAGTAATAAAAATTCAAAATAGAAGAATAAATCTAATGAAGGTATCTATACGGGAAATTTTTTGAGATCAAAGAAACAGTAGAAAAATAGAAAAAGTTTTGATTATTTTGAAATGTCACGTGGATAGGAAAATTAATTGAATCTATTAAATTATAGAAAAAAATTGAGCTTTTCAAATATAAAGCAGACGTATGTTGATGAAATATCGAAAGTAATGAAAGTTTGTAAGAAGTAAGTATAACAGACTCCCTACAATTTATCGAGAAATATGAACGTTGTTACTATCTACAAGTTTCATTTCTAAACACAGGTAATTAACGATACATACATCGTAAATAAATCAACTAGATTTTTCTGCGCATGTACAGACAATAAAAAAAAAAAAGGAGAAGAAGACAGTAAAAGAAAAACGCACGTTCACGTTAGAACCAACCCCATACTCGCAGTTTACAAGTGGCAAGTTCTAATTCAATTTTCATTCGGGTTCTCGGCCGCGAGTCCTTTGTATCGATTCGACGGGATAAACAGAAACAGCGGGATAATCGTTATTCAATTAGATGCATCGGCGAGGCGAGCGAATAATCGATGAATTCTAAGCTGTTGACTTCCCACCCTCTTCCTTGCACGATCGCGCGAACACAGCGAGAGACTCTGGCAAATGAGCGCTCGCGCGTACGCAATTCGAGTTTCTCCTCGTTCCTCGCCGGTCGCCGGGGGAGAAAAAAGTACAACGATCCCGTGCTTCCACCAATTTGCCGCCTTTGCCACGTGTTGCTATATACAAGCTGTTCCTCTCTTTGAACTCCTTCTTGTTGCTTCACGAACCTCGCGCGTATATATACGTCCGCGTCTCTCTCTTCGTCGATAATACAGAGGGGGGAGGGGGAGCAGCGAGTGCTCGTGTCCTCGAACGCAGGCGGCTCGTGCGTAGGCAAACTATGGAATATGTCAGCCTATTGAGCGCAGGTGCTTTAAGCTGCTCAGCTGTTGCTTCGAATCTCATGCACATTCACGCGAGCTTGTATCACGTTGATATTGGTGCACACTAAGCAGTGTGCACCGTGTATCAGCCGTCCGCGTGCGTGCAAACGCTGAACCGACTCACGTGTTCCACCCACGCACTTATGCGTATCGGCAATTGAATGGTGAAACGATCGGGCCCTCGCCCGCGAGCAGCCTCGTCGTCGCTCAATGAATTCGTTGAACACCGGTCTGTCGATTATCATCCATCGTTCGAAGTCGTTCCCTGAGAACGATGTCGTGGAAGTAATTTACCCTCGTTCCCAGCGAAGGATGTTCGCGTGAAAATTTCGTCACGTGTAATTTGCCTCTTCATTTGTCGATGCTTATTTCACCGAGTATTTCCTTCTCTCGTCGAAGTGTATACCTTTTTTTTTTTAAGGATTGGTCATTTTGTCAAATCTTTACACAGCAGTAGAAAGTGTAGGAAATTAACGAAGAATAGTTGATGTATTTGTTAACTGAATAGCCATGTACAAAGTCACAAGAAAGAATATCTTGAAATTTATATATCGAAGAATACTTAAAATATACCTTTAGCTACGAAGCTATAGAAAAGAAAGCTAATTAGATTTGGAAAAAAAAATTAAACGTCTCAACTGCTCAAATGAATAATTACAAATAATCATAAAAAATTAATTTCAAGGAACATATGTATCCTCGAATATATTTAACTACAAACAGGTAGTGCATCCGGTCTACGATCGGAGAATTACCATCAATTACTGTATTGCACATCTTCCTCTTAAACTATTGATCAACGAACAGCATGTAATTGAAAGAAAAAGTCGACTTGCCGGAACCGGCCACGTTCTGAATAAGAAATTCAACGCAAGTAATTTTCTTATGGTCTCTCCTCGTCTTCAACAAATCCTGGAGTTCGCTGTACTTGCAGCTTTTTGTCGCTAGAACTCCCGGCAGAAGACTTCGGCCAAAGTTAAACCACACGGTTCGCGGCTGCCGTCCTATTCCTCGTCTTGTCGTCATGATCGATTACTAGTATTTTTAACTGGTAACACTTGCTATTATACCCGCGCATATTCTCCCACGACTGCGTGACGTGATCGTGCAATGAACCGACGTACTTCTTTCCAAATATACGATTTCAAAAAACAGATCTTTACTATCTCCACGTGAGATTTCGATGCCAGTGATAACACATTCGATAACATGCTGTCGAAACCTTTTTTTAAACAGAATTTCACTCGTTGTTATTACTCACACATTTATTTCTTTATTTATAATATATTAAATTGGAAATTTAATTGCCTGTTAAATCATTTTTCCAAGGAATTGACAATTCTCACGTTTACAAAGAATCCATTCTTCTCTTGTAATTAAATCGGTCTATATCGGGGGATGGAAGACACAGACGTACATACGAACGTGTGTAACGTGCATGTACGATTGCCGTTGATTCAGTGTCAGACGCTTTTACCTACGGAAGTCGGCGAGCTTCTATATACGGGCAGCGTTTAAAATAAAATACGATCACACGATCGCAACTTCTCCAAGTGTGGAGTATCGATCGCGTATCGCTACGTAAAGTAAGTGACGCGGAGCGCGATCACATAGCTCGACGATGTTCTTTTTAGAGATCAGACAGACTAACGCGAAGCTAACGTCCGTTGTGTGTTTCTGTTTCAGACGAATAAGAAGAATCGCGGGAAGGAAAATCGAGACGAGGGAGCGAGGGGCACCTAGCCCTTTGGCGAGCTCGAAGGATGCAGCTCCCAGGCGGGAGCACGAGAAATCCGCCCGCGAGAGCACCGGCCTCAGTTCTCGTGATCATCAACGGAAGCAACATCCTATCGACTATCACGAAGAAACGCAACGGCAACGGTAGATCTAGTAACGAAAACGACGGACCTGGTACGAATAGCAGCGACAGCGTCTTAAGGAAAAGTAGAAACAGCCTCGAAAACGAGCCGCGCCTCCTTGAGAGAAATCGTCGTCCTGAGACGAGGATACCGAGCAGCCGCCGACACCGAGTCACCGAGAAGCCCCAGCTGTTGGCGTCAGCCCCAAGGCGGAAGGAGCGGGGCGAGGAATAGTGAAAAGAAAGTAGAGAAAAACCGAGAAACGACGGAAGAAGAGGAAGAGGAGGCGCGAGAGAAGGAGAAAAAGGTGAAGAGGAGGAAGCAAGAGTTCGTCGGGAAGGAGAAGGGTGCCGACGTCGTCGTCGTCGGCGGCGGCGGCG